TATTATTATTATTATTATTATTATTATTATTATTACTATTGTCATATCATGAGTTTGATCAATATCAGCATGCGGGCAAATGACCTTACATAAAAATAACTATATAAAATTATTGAAATGGCCTTGTGTGACTCATGACTCCAAAATAGCCTTATCAACCTTAAATCGGCCGAATTAACAATGATAACTATGTGGTGACAGGCCTACACAATTCCTATCCACGTGATAGCCGCTTTGAGAGTTTTGCTCGAACTAGTATATCTTTGAGGATCTGCCCCTTTTGTATGGTACGATAGGGGGATCTTTGAATATTTCGCTTAGCAATAATCCTGTTTTTAGGAGGACATTTAACCAGAGTAGAGCCGTTAGAGGTCATAGGTCTGCGTGGTTTCCGCTGTTATCCGCGTGCAATTTGTAGAGTTTGACACCTCTGTTTTTTGCCACGTGCTAGTTTTTTTGGCTCATTTGTATTGCAAGATATGTTTTAAATTCTCTAAATATTAGCTCTGGAGGGACAAAGTTTGAAATATTTCGTGAAAATGTTGGTTACTTGCACTTTGTATTATTACGCCGGACCCGGCTGTTTGATTAACTGTTGCAAGTTACGCTGCTTCTTATCACGGGTGTCATATTTGTCTTTGTCCGGCCTCGCCAGAGATAGGTGTAGCTTTCTTGTGGAAAGCCGTAAGTCTGTCTTAGATCGACGTTCTTATGTTTCTTGCATCAATTTCATCGAGCTTTTTGTCCTTCCAGTTTGTACGTTCTGGAACTGCTAATATAGATGTTCACGCGCAAGTCTGTGGACTGTTTTGCGTGTTGTTTATGATATTGTGTGGTTTTGTTCAGGCAAAAAGCTCTAAATTTTGGAGTTCTTCCTATGATTGTTCAACCAGCTCCACGTTGTGGTTGCCATTGCTTTTATTTGCGATGTTGTCAGGTTCTCTTGAGACTGTTGATAGTCCCTGTTTTGTTAGGAGGCTCGTAGCCTTGTCGATCAGGCAATACCGCGGTTTCGATCCTTCTGGATCTCATCAGTTGCCGATAACAGGGAGTGGTAGAGACCAATGCTCGGTAACACTCCGCACCTGGCATATTTTTTTGGTATCAGTATACTCGTTCGGCGGATCGAGAATTCTTGATTGTGATTGGTAGTTTTGCCACCAGCGAATGATGAGCACAAAGTCTTCGATCCTATTGTACACAGCTTGACACTGTGTTTTCTATGATGGCTATAACGCTTATTTTCTCCAGCATGTGTTATTTGAATTTAAGGATAAGATAGTTATGCGTTGTAATTATACGGCATATCTCCAAGTTTTGGAGGGTTGTGTAGAGTATTTTGCACGCATTTCGTATGTTTATCCTTTGTTTTTAGTGTAGCTAATGTACACCTAGGACTCACATGCTGTGATTGGATTAAGTCTTTACTCGCACGTGATGTGCTTGTAGCATATTTTTATGTTACTTCTTTTCAGTGAACTGTTGTTTTTCTTGTATCTATAGAATATTCATACTGGTTTTTTTTTCACTTGATAATGACGCTCGAGAACGTCGTGTATTTTTAACCTTTTTAAAAAATTTCTTAAATGTTTTTAAGAAAAGTTTTTTCGCAATTTTTTATAGCTAATTATTATTACTATCATTATCATTATCATTATCATTATTATTATTATTATTATTATGATTGTTGTTGTTTCTCATGTATTATTACTCATGTATTGTTTATTATTTGCATTGAGAACTAAATTTCATAAATTTCAGTTTCCTGTATTCCTTTCTTACCCCTGGTATTGCCCTTAAAGTGCCACTAACCCCAAGAATTCTTATTCCTTTAATAAAATCTACTAGTTTCCTTGATTACTTCAGCGAAAAAATTATCTCGATTGATAAAATCCCTGCGTTTCTATAAGCGTTTGAACATGTGATTACTATGTTCACGACCGCGCAAATCGGGCTAAAACAATCAAGAGACTTTTGACTGAGATTCGAGGGCTGTTAAAACATTTTTGGGTTATTTGTGATTCATAATTCATCAAAACTGGACAAGATTTTTAAGCGAAAGAACTGTATCATCTAGCATTACAATTCGGAGCCTAGCTACGATTTGGACGGCAACGTTGTAGATATATATTTTTTTTCCATTTCGAAGTGTGAGTCGCCAGTCGAGCTCGCTACGTTGTAATCTAGGCCAGGATCTTGAAAAGAGGTTCAGTATAGTATCACTAAAATAAATACATTTCTACTTCACTGTTATTTTGAATGAAATGTCCATTTTACGTACGCTAATAACCTGGAAGTTCTCGAGTTTTTTGTAGTTTGCGTTTCGGTTGACTGACAAGCGCATTCTTTTTTCTTTCACCACAATCTCCGTCGGTAGTTCTTCAAAAACGAAGCTCAAAGAATAGAACAATTCTCTATTCGGAATGGCCGTTGAGAAACACGGCCGGATTACGACCTCCGTCGTGCGTGTGTTTTTATTAAAATCCACAAATAGATAGCTAGTTCACCAGTTCGTAGCCTCAACAATCTCAATCGTCTCGTTGTAGGACGCAGGTTTCGTTTACTATTCGTTCAGAAAAGTCTCAATTTCGAGTACAAAAAACGCGGTGCGTTTAATTAATGTCGTTGTTCCTAGCGAAAATAAGTTAACCGTGGCGACTTGCAATTGAATCAGAGCTATTAATCAAATACAAACAGCTCGTGATGGCATTAATGGGGGGGAACACTGCCTCGCGTTTGGTTAGCCCATGCGACTTCCGGCCATAGCGTGACAAAACAACCTCACTTATCTCCTCAGCACTACGAAGGATCGACAATTTGCCGGTCCATTTGGGTTATTAAGGTACAAATAATGACTGAAGAGTTAGCTTACAGCTCTTAAAGAGTAATAAAGATGTCAATGAACACGAAGAGCTGGATATTTGACGTTACGGAACGTGCAGATTTCGGAGTGTCAAAACATTGTTAGATTCAAACGTTAATTTCCCCCGAAATACAAGTTAAAATGCGATTCAGAGGTAGTCCACTCCGGCCTACTTCTCCAGATCAATAATTGAAAATAGTTTTAACATAAGAGGTAAGCAGAGATGTCGGCAAACAATATTCGAAGGTGAGGTAATTTATCGCTTCGTTATTGGCGACCGACCGTAGTATATGCATAGTCAATTACTGTGAAAGAACACAAGCTACACAAATTTGAACATTTCGTACTAGGGAGCCTGGCTTCCAGCTTATCCCAAATTCGTGTCTTATGCAGTACCTTGACAATTTCAAGCTTTCCATTAGAGATAGAGGAGAATATACAGGTCATGAAAATCTCTAGGTTTTTACAGTAGCTTACAGTAGCGGGGAACCCGAGATCGAATAAATCCTCGATGACTCCCGACCCGCTTTAGCTTCACACAGATCAGCCCACTTCTTTGGTCCTTTTTTCGTTACTGGTCAAGTTTCATCGAGATAGAGGTATTGAATGAAGAAGAATACTGTATTCTACGCATCCTGTATTGCTACAGCTTCCAACAACATATCTTCCTTGCATTCTGCAACGATTTTGACACACAATATCGCATGTTCGCATATATTCTTCTCAGAAACAAAATATTGTTATTCCCGAAATGACGTCAGAAGCCAACTCGTCCCATTCTCCGCTATTCCTCGGTCGTGAACATGGAAAAGGGCAAATTTACAAACTTTGAAAAATTCATTCAAAATTAACGAAAATAACTACAACGATAATTTTTTCGCAGTGGTGATCAGGAGAAAAAGGAAATTTATATTAGCGAAAAAAGAATTGGGGGGTTAGTGGCACTAACGTATGTTGACCCCAACAAAACAATTCTTGGCTTGCACTGTGACGCAATCCTGACGCAATAAAAAAACTTGTTCGAGAACCATCGAGTGGATAAAGTCAAGAAATTGTGATGTTGTAGGAGATTACTAAAGATGACACTTCTCTAATTTTTAAGTCTGTGCGTTTTCCCAAACCTCAGATAATTCGTCGAAATATTTTGCACAAATTTGCGGAGCCCAGTATGGAGCCGCAATGTTGGTGTACCTCCGCGGTACACCAACATTGTGGCCGGAAAATAGTGTAAACTTCTGGAACTTACTTTAGCTATCTAGGCGACTGATTGTCTGTACTGAACAAACAAGCATTTACATAAGCACTTTTCCTAATACTTAAACTTCTGAATGGGCNCGCATATATTCTTCTCAGAAACAAAATATTGTTATTCCCGAAATGACGTCAGAAGCCAACTCGTCCCATTCTCCGCTATTCCTCGGTTGTGAACATGGAAAAGGGCAATTTTAGATTCATACAAAATTAAGGAAAATCGCTACAACGATTCGCTGCGGTGATCAGGAGAAAAAGGAAATTTATATTAACGAAAAAATTTGGGGGATTGGTGGCACTTTAATATAGAACTATGTAAACAGTAATGAAGAATGCAGAGGGAGAAAACATCAAACGGCTACACTGCACCACAAGAAGAAAAGGATGTTAAAGACCGATACGAGGTAGTTTACAAGTTGTTTGATGCCAGACGATCAGTATGCGAGCTTACGACGATTTTAATGGCGACTCTTTTAAAGGATTTAAAGGCAGACTATTTTAAAGGACTGTTTTCACAGGTAATTGCTGCCTCGTGATATCTAGGTTCCAAGTAAACGTTTAACTAATCATGATCACTGCCGCAAAAAAAAAAAATAATAAAATAAAAAAAAAAGAAATAAAAATAACCAACACAACATGAAATGAAATATTTATTTGATGAACTTCTAATCGCAATTAATTTCCTGGTCTTTGTAAAGGGTAAAAAAAAATTGTTTGATTTTTCCAAAGTACTTGATCAATGAAGTGCGTAGGTTAGTTTTGCGAACAAGATCGATTCTGATACTTTGTTGAATGCGGTTTTATTCGTTATTCACATAACTTGACTAGTCTCAGCAACTGTTAGCGGGATTTGGCAGCTACTGGGTCAACAAGGTTTGTTCGTTACAACTCAGATTTTCCGGTTAACCTTGAGTTCAGGGGATAACAAGGTTTGCTACGCAAACGCAGCGAGACTGGACCAAGAACCGTGACGTTAAGCTCAGACTGTTGATTATAACTATTATGTTCAGCTTACTTCATCAGCGAAAAAAAAAAAACGGCTTTAGAAATTATAAAATCAATTTGATAATGAATTTGCGCTTTATTCTGCCTTCGATTACATTTGATACGTTGTCCACTGTGACTTCAGTACCATTATTATTTATAAGGCCTCGTGAATTTTGCGTCACAGTTGGGCAGATTAAAGTCGTAGTAATGCCTTAACAGGTCCTCCATTTTATGATATCTTGGTCCGGCAGGGTCAAGAGCGTAACCTTCGTCCTGTAAGTAAATTAAAGAACATAGAAACAGATCAAAGGCTTATATACCGTGGCCTGGGAAACGGGACAATTAAGTTAACACAACATAATCACAGCGCCGACGCCGTTTAAACCAGCTAAGAAAACCAACAAACTAAACAATCAACCAACCGAGTGACCAACTAGTAACCAACCACAACAAAGCAACTAAACAACAAACCAATATTCCAGTCGACCAAACAACCAACCGAGCTACCAACCGAACCAACCCACCAGCCAATCAATAAACTAACCAACCGAGCAGTCCAGCAACCAAGCAACCAACCACCTCAAAAACAAATTATCCCACAAACCGACCGACCGACCGACTGATCAAACAACCAGCCAACGAAGTCAGCCAACGAACAATAATAACAGTGCTTTACCTCCTTATGGAATATCACGTAATGTCGAATTCGATCTCCAGTCCATACTGACAAAGCCTGTATGACGGAAACAAAGGAATGTAAGATGTACTACGGAGCAACACTGAAACACTAATACCCTAAATCGGACTGCCGCTTTAAAACGAGGCGACCAATGAACGTCTCTGTTATTTAGAGACAGCTAATCAAGAGAGAAAGAATAAATTATGATGTCATCCAACGGACAGTAACGAGAAACCTGAGCACGGTAATGAGATATCTCAGCATGGTAATGATATACCTGAGCACGGACCTCACCATTTCCTCGGCATTAACTCAATCTTTCTGTGGGTCCTGCGTTCCCCCCTGTACTACTCACATTGCTTAACATTTTAACATGTATTCTAAAGAATATAGAAGGCTCCGTAATTTGTGGGAGACGGTTCCCCACAAAGAAATCTGATGCCGTAAGAAAACCATAATAAAAATATACCTACCCTTCTTGACTGTGCAGACTGACTGCTCCGTACAATGTAAACTCCTTGTTTGTTTTGCAGGAGGCTACAATAAACAAAAAAACAGCTATATATCAGTGGTCATCAGTGACACAGTCAGAGCAGTAAATACATGACTAATAAAATGTAACAGAGCAAAATAAACCTTGTACGAAACAGTTAAATTTATTTTAATGCTATCTTGCGCAAACATCTTGTTATTACTGAACCAGACTGTACAAACAAGGATACCGTATCGCCCGCACTTCCTAAGTTTAGAGCAGAGGTAGTGAATTCTACTTACGAATTGACTTCCAGCTTGTCTAGGTCAAGTCTCAAAGCTGAGTTAGGAAGAACTCCCTGCAAGAGCCGGGTAATTGATGTAAGTTTCCATTGCTGCCTTTCTTACAATTAAAAAAAATCACCAAACAAACTTAACTTCCTCGAGGGAGACAAGTAATTTTCTGTCTTATGTATAGGTAATCAAATGATTTAGAGTGCAATTTGGAATAAAGAAACACAAGTAAATTTTTCAAAGACTACAAAAAATTTACGAGTGCTTATTTATTCCAAATTGCACGAGAAAAATCATTTGATTACTTGTTAATAATATACATGCAAAAATTTGAGTCTTATCAGGAGCCATAATCGGGGACGTCTCCGTCCCCGACTATGGCTCCTGGTCTTATTCCTTTTTGACAGTGTTTATTTCGTGTCGCGGCTCACTGGTCCCACCTACATTAACATTATTGGTCGAAAAATGACAGCCTTGATTGACATGCCAAAACTTGTGAAAAAAAAGTACAGACAAAATATCGTTCAATCGACAAAGATCAAATTCTGGAAGCATCTATCATTCAAAGCGTTTTCAATTTAAGAACCTCGAAGAAAAAGTAGGACTGAAAAGACGTCAACACTGGTTCACCTAATAATGTTTGCAGTCGATTCTAATTGAGATCAACATGTACATGTTCAACAATTGAAGTATTTCGAAAACTGAACTGATCAGTTAGAATATTTTCCTCGCCATGCGGCGCAGCTGACTTTGGCTTTTCAGGAGCTGCTGTGCTTCCGATGTTGAGAGTGACTTGACACTGGTGGAAATGGTTCATATTCATAAAAGACTGACGCTACTGTTTGGGATTAATTGACGTGCTCTCAGCCAATCAGCATGGTGAAATTTTTGAATGTATATCTTTAATTTCGTTATGCTCTTGATATTTTACTACAAAATAACAGTTTTATTTAAGAACCTCCTCGAGGTTTACGAGAAATCTGCTAATTTTTCGACAAGAAGAAACAAAGATCAGAAGGATCTGAGCGCTCTTGGTGATCACAATAAATTTTCCGTTCAATCAGGAGCCATAATCGGGGACGGAGACCGTAAGTAGGGCGGAAAAAGGCCGGGCGATGAAACGGGCAGTCCGCTCTTGGTCCAATGTGTGATGCGGAGAAGGACTGGCACGAGCGCTCCTTCCGCGCTTCCGGTGAGATTAATGGCTGCCAAAAATTTCCTCTCAACGAACCGGAAATCAGTTCATAAGTTCTTTCTTTATTTTTGAGCCACCAGTGGCTTATTTTTAAACGCTTTTTTGTGGTTTTGGTCCCCAACTCAATACTATTTTGTCTGTTGGAATATCCCTGAAGTATTTTCGTCGTAAGCCGCTCAAATATGAGTGTAGTAAGACGAGTGTAGAAAGATGGCGACTGGTACATTTACCCATAGTTCTTAGCTGTACGAAAACCTTAGCAACGTTCATAAAAGCGTACAGAAAAGTCATAAAATCTTCAAACCCAGGCTGCACAATGTCCTTAGTGCAGGGACAAATTTTGTAAAAATTTAGCTTTCTTTGTGCCTTATAGGCTCTGTTAGGTTTGCAAGGTATTGTGGTAAAATGTACAGCCGCCATCTTTTTTCCTACCGTGGATTACGCTCTTTCGTGTGAAAACTTACATCGAACTCAGACAATATCTTTAGCTTTAAATATGTTTAGGACTGATTTGATAAATATTTGAGAACATATTAGATGTTTAGCTGGAAATGTACAGGTGAATGTGGGAAGACAGCAGAGATATTAAATCAGCAAAATTACGGTAGCACTTATCAATCGACCCGAATGACGATTTCATTTTGTTGTTTGAGTTCTCAAAACTCCTTGTCTTTTTCATTTTCGCAGTATAAAATTTCACTATGAAACCGTGATCTTAGTAGCCTTTTAGCGTTGGCAAAAATTATCGCATCGTCTCAGTACAAAAGATGGCAAAAAAAAAAATACTTTTACAAGATTTTATATTGACAAATTACAAACACCGACTCGGACTTGGAAAGTGCACGCGCTACATTATGCAAATTGGCTACTTGTTCGCGTCAAACTTTCCTGCTCGCCAAACAAGCAGAAACAATAAGAAACTGATCGAAAACAGATTTTGGTTATGATTATAAGCATTGTTCTCATTTTTCTGAGGAACGCACAAATTAACCGGCGATACCAGAGTAGAGTCGCATAAAGTTTATTCGTAAGTCAGAAGAAATGCAAAAGATTACGCGTTCAACTAGCGCGAGCAGACTTACAGCGCGAAATATGAAGTCCCGTTTTCAACCTAAAAACTCACTTTTTCCCATTGCCTCAGAGCATAAAATGCACCAAAAACCTTCCTTCTTCATACAGAAGGGAGTTTCGTGGAATTTCTTTAGAAATCTAAGTTCCACCGTAAGTAAGCGGAATCTGCTCGTTTTAGTAGACCCCAGTCTACTGCATCACACCTTTTTGTTCGGACCCGCTCGTTTCACCGCCCTACATAGCGCGCTGCCGTAAGTCTTGGAATCCGCGCACGCAGCTATGTCCTATGGGACAGTTTT